TTCCTGATCGCGCCTATACTACGCAACAGACAGGATGCTGTAGGGACGTTAGAGGACCAGTGCAGCAGGTACTTTTCCACTTTGATGCTCGGAGCATTGGCCTCATACATTTGTGTGACTCAACAGTGCATATGCTGGAGTGCGTTTTTCACGTTAAAGCTGAGTTTTTGAGGGAGGTGCTAGTTCACACGGACTGCCCGCTTTTGGCCTGTCGGCCTGCCGCATGCATCTTAATTATTTCCCTCAAACATTAGTTTGAGGTTGGAGTTGTAATCGCCTCCTGCAAGATAGGGCTTTCGGTTCCACGCGGTGTTGTTGTCTCTAGCCGTGAATTTGAGACCATAGGAATCCCTACTTGCCAAGCTCAGGCCACGGGAATGAGCAACACTCACTGCAGTTTTTAGATGCACCGGGCAGCGTGCATAGGTTGACAAGCTTGTTTGAGGTTATTCAAACAGGCAAAACTTATGCGGTGAGTTGGCGAGCTAGGCAAGAAAAGCTCCTACATGTGACTTCACAGCGGCATCTTCCATTCGTCTGGACTAGCAAGACACACTTGATAGCTGGCCGCAGCTTTCCAATGTTTACGCGCTCTTGCGGAGCCACAGAATCGATTTCCCCAGTCTCGCTGCGTGCAGTCATCTGCGTAGCGGAGGCATTGGCGCTCAACCTGACGGGGTCGTCTTTTGTTTGCAGTGCCCCTTAAGTTGTTGGCGTCCGCGTTGTGCGCGTTGGAGGCGTATGCAGTTCGTGCTCACGAATGTCCACGTGCGACGTGAAAATACTTTTTGCTGCCATCACGTGCTGCTCGGAACTGCGCATATTCACGCAGTTTGGGGTAGATGCGTGCATAGGCAAGAGAGGTTAATATTAGTTCCACGGCAGGGACACGGGTAGTGCGCGAGTGAGGGCTGTGGTGGCCGAAGTGAGGGTTACTTTCGATAGACGAACGTGCAGCGAGTAGTTTAAGCGGTTTTCGCGCCTGTTGCGTTGTGTCAAGGTGTTTGGTTGTCGAGAAAATGCAAGTGATGGTGTCATTCACGTTCAGTCGATTTGGCTTGTGGATGCAACGGCTTTCTAAAGCGTGCAGGTGATAGCCTGACCAGCGGTGCAAACACTCCAGCCTTCTGTGCGTTCTTGTCGATCGGAGCACTGCAAGGACGGATATGATGGAGCAAGTCCAAATAGGCAGTCCCAACTGTGGCACATGGGTAGCCCGTCGTTGACTGCTAGCTGCGGGACTGCAACTGTTCGAGATCACGCTTTCCTCGAATACACAAGGAACAAAGTTCGCCTAGGGCTAGCAACAATATATTACGAATTATGGCGTGGGTAGGGCTTGTATATGTGACTGTAATTATTACAGTGTGGATATTTCGTGTAGACATAATATATCCATCTTTTGAATCGAAGTTATTTTAACGTCTGCGGGTGGTCTATAAGCCAGCAAGCCTGGCTCTGCAAGGTAATATAACAGGGCATTTCTCGGCTGTAGCGCACATTCGTTGACAAATATTTGCTCGTAGGAGCCGGGTAGGGGCGATACCTCATCGCCATTCGCACAGGCGGAAGCATTGCATGCTCAGTCGCATCAAGTGCCTATATTGCAGCACATGCTGTGTACAGCTGCGTCCCGATGTATTTTGGTTTTTTATGCTGGCTTACTTTCGGAGCACTTGGTGCGTGGTGCCAATGTTGGAGAGAGTGGACGTTTGGTCAAGCGAGCGGCGCCTCTAGATTTTACGAAGATCTTCCATGCTGGCGCACCTGTTGTTCGAGAAACGCGCAGACCAATGCCGGTGCATGGATAGCCTAGACGCTAGCGCTTGCGTAATAGTATTGGAGCGTAATTAGTCGTACGTCTTCACGAAATATTCCACAGGCAGTAGAGGTGCTGTAGGCTAGGGTATAAATTGAACTCAGGCATGCGACGTATCAGACTATTTGGTGGCTGAGGATACTTGAAAGGTGATCCATGACACGCCGTATGTTCAGCATCGGGCTTCGTGTTGTAACTAGTTGTAGCAAGCGGCAGCAGGCGGATCTAGCGGCAGCGCGCGGTTGCAGCCGTTCGGAAAGAAAATGTGCCTTCTGCATCACCGGGACAGTTAACTACATGCTGTGGGAATGATTGGAGAGTTTTCGATTTTTGCGCTCGACCCGTCTTTGGTTTGCCGTACTGGCAATTTTCGGCATCTGCGACGTCGCATGCCACGGGCGGTGGGTGGGCCTGGCGTATATAATAGCAGGTGACTACCAGCAAGTGGCTGTTTCCCGACAAATGCTGTGTAATGCCATCCCCGGTTGCGACTTTGATTTATAGGCTGGGGGGAAGTCCACGACTATTTTGGTGCAGAACGTATGGTCAAGCAATGGCTCGCGCTAACTGTGGCAAATAATTTAATGCTTGTTTTATGACTTCGTATGACGACATACGTGTTGACGAGCGTCTGTTACAGTTATCGTGGAGGAATGAATGATGGCTATGGCGAGAGAGGGTTTCTATTTAGAACGAAATTGCACGGCACGCCATTTGTGCAGGGAACGTGCCGCAGACCCCCCAGGATGTGTGTTATATAGTGCGAACTCGCAACTCATTCTTGGGTGAAGCGGCCTGTTGCGTTCTGGAGATGTGGCACTTGCCATGCTCCAACGGTGTGTGCCACGTGGTGCTTCTGGTGAGTTTCTCGCAACAAAAAAAACGAATACTGCGCTGATTGGTGCCCCTACGGCATATGGAACTGAACACGTCGACAGTTGGGACGCGTCCCAAAAC